AGGTAAATTAAAAAAAAAAAAAAAGAAAATGGAGGAAAGCCAAAGCAGTGCCTAGCTTGGGGCTGGGATTTGGGATCTGGGCTTCCCATTTCTTCCCCGAGCAAGGAAAGCCTTCAGCACCGAGCCGTAGGATGCGCCTCGTTGCTTTCTCTGCCTCGTGTCTGCAGTCACGTTTGGGGGAAGCCCCCGTGGTTGTGGTGGGGCTGAGGGCAGTGTGGAGATGAGCAGATGTGCCAGGGCCTGCCTGACTGGATAGACTCAAAATCAGGGTAAGGAGAGAGATGACGCTGAGGAGCCGGACGCAGCCCGGATGTCTTCCCCTCCCCTCGTATCCCTTTTTATATCCGTATCTTTTATATCCGTTTTCCTCTCCGTCCCTTACCGCCATGGCACAGCCCCATGAGAAGGCAGTGGGAGGAGGGGTCCCCTCTCTATCCCCCAACTCTTGTCCGCAGATTTCGGCTGCTGGGCAAGGAGAGGCCCCAGGCTGTTCAAGTCCCTCTGTGTCCCTGCTTCTTTATGAAGGGGAAGGTGACAGTTGTGACAACAGCTGGAGAGCAGGGACAAGCAGCTGGGGTGTAGGAAGCCACAGGTCAGGGCAGGGCTTCCTTTGTCCAGGTCAGAAGGAAAGGAGACCTGCTGGTGCAAGGAGCTGAAGCTCTCTCCATTAAAGCCCCCCGGCTGCCGCAGCTCTGCAGAGCGCGTTTGCAGCGTGCAGCCCTTGCCGGCAGCCGCCTGCCCTCGGAGCCCCGCGGTGCCTTCTGTCCCCTCCTTTCTCTCCCAGGGCACCTCCCCACTGTTCGGAGCCACGGGAGCTCGGGGTCACTCCCGCTCCGAGCCTTTTCCCGCCCCCCTTCCCTTTCCAGCTCCTTAAACAACAAAGGTGAGGAGGGAATTTATACCTCTGCCTGGTAACCAGGCAGAGCAGTGAGGCGCTGTCTCGGTTTTGTGAGGGCTCCATCGATTTTTATGGCTCTTCAGTCCTTGGGTTCCCAACCTTCCTTTGGCTTGTAAATTGCCCGCAAAATGCAGACACAGCTCCCATTCTGTGAGCGCCTTTGATGATTTTATTTATATCTCTTGCTTTGTCTTGTCTTTTTTTACAGGGAGGCTGCAATTAATTATTATCCCATCAGCTTCTCTTTAGGCTGGGGGCACCATGCAGCACACAGTGTCCAGCCCTGCCTGCCTGCGTGCGCGGCCCTTCTCCTCGCGAACAAAAGCGCTGCCGGCTGGAGAAGGGGCCGCGCTGAGAAGGGGCGGCCTGGGAGACGTCACCGTCACCGGGACCCGACATCCCAACCCAGCTGTCGTGCTCCTCGCTTCGTCTCACCATCCAAAGTGATTTTCCTATCGTCACTCTTCAGGCGGGTGTAGATCCTTGGTGAGAGCGCAGGCAGGGCTTTTGTGTCCCTTTCCAGCATCTCAGACCAGATTATTTCATGTCTTTCCCCTCGTGAAATGGAAGTGACACCTCTTAAGAGAGAGAAAACAGTCCCTGCTTGGTCAGTGTGGGCAGAGGCTCGATGGGAATACAAGAGGTGCGCAAAGAGAGTCTGAAATAGCAGCAGCACCATCAGAAATCGCAGGGACATTGCCCCTGGGATACAGCTGAAGGAACTGGGACCCTCTGTCCTGAGCCACCTTGGGGCATAGTTGGGATACTCCCAGAGAGGGAGGGAATAGGCAGTTCCTCAGCTCCCCAAGGCAGTAGGGGGGCAAGAAGAAGTTAACCTATGGCAGGAGAGATCTAGGCTAGAGTAGTAGTGCCAGGAACAGTTTTCCTGGGCTAGAAGGGGAAAGTGTCCCGTGCTGATACTGCTAGGAGCAGTTTTGGATATGTGCCTATTAGGAAAGAGTCCACCCCACCTTTCCCTATGGTCCAGATGGCCAAGATGATTCTCAGGGGTGCAGCCCAGTTTTCCATGTCTCCTCACTGGGCTCTTCTGAGGACAAGTTTTCTTAGCTGCTCTGTGTGCTCAGCAGCTTCTCCTTGGTTTGTTCTCTAGGGGCAGGCCCTGCTCAAGAAGAGCACTGCCAGGCACAGCCCTTTGGAGGTAATTATAACTGAAGGCTGGAAAACGAGCGTGTTTTAGCAGGGAAATGTGTGATGGCGACTCCACAGTCCGTTCTTTGTGCAATCTTTAACACTGGTGTCTAAGAGAGCCTCCAAAATACCCCAGGAAGGGGATCCTTTGGCACCTGGCGGTGCAGCCTAAACCAGCATCCTCTGCTCAGCATCCAGCATCCTCCCAGCATCCTAAACCAGCATCCTCCCAGCAGGATCCGCTGGCGGGTGGAAGCCGCGGGCTGGCCCCGGTGCGGGCTGCAGGGCTCCCAGTTCCGAGGAGTGTTTCTTGCTCCCGTTCCGCACAGGTGACACGTTCTCACTAGCCCGCGTTGCCACCGGCCCCGGGCTGCGCTGCGTCTACGTGCTCCAAGCTGCCGTGGGGAGGAAAGGGCAGGTCTGGGCGGGCAGCACAGCCCGACCGAGCTGCCTCTGCCCTTGCCAGTGCCGAGCTGGAAGCGCCAGCACCGGCAGGGCTGGGATGTTGGGCTGCCTGGGAACCTGGCCCAGGTCGGGGCGTCCCGGCTCCTATCGAGCTGCGCAGAGGGAAGGAGCGTGCAGAGCATGGCTCTGCTCACGCGCCCGACCCCGCTCCGCTGCTTTGGGCTCTCTGTCCCAAGCCTAGAGAGGTGCCTACAGGTGAGAGCAATTGTCAGGAAAACCTGCTCCCGGGTTTTCCATTGAAAAATACGGTGATCAAGTGAGTCCCTCCTCCTCCTCCTGCATCCCAGCTAGGTTTCTACTGAGCCTGTGATTCCTGTGAGAAAATTGTGACTAAATTCTGCCCGCTCTGAAGCGTGAACTGTGAGGGCTGGTCTTTACGTCAGACGTGTAATTACCTGTCTGCAGAACTATGAAAATGTACAAGGAAAAGGAGAGGGAAAAGCAAGATCACTGTCAAGTGAGAGAAAACCTATCATTTCCCTCGCCCCCCCTCCCTTATATTTTGTTTTTCTCAATTCACAGCTGTACATAACTGTGCTTAATCCAGCTAAGAAGCTGCTTAAAAATCAGACTGTCTGATAAGCTATTACCTGGTAGCTCCTGCCATGTGAGAATGCAATACTTCATATTTGAAATCCCTAGAAAACTCTGAGATCTGCAAAAAGAAAAAGAAAAAAAGCCTGAAAGTCTGTTACAAGGGATGCCTTTTTGTGTAAAATGAATACCAGCTTGCAAGCGGAATGACAGTACGATTTGTTAAATGTGAGTTACTTAAATAATTCATTTTTTGCACTAATTATACAGTACGTGGTTAGTTTCCGTGATCACGCGTAATTAGAGGGGAGCAGTCTCTGCAGCACCGTCACGCCTTTGATGGGGCTGATCGAGAAGGGACTAAGGTTTCCTTGCAGCCTACGGATTGTGCGCTAATTAAGGGGTTTACATGGAGTGTCATGTGTATCCTCTGCTCGGAGACAGACCCTGAACGTACTCAGTGTCTTCTGGTTTCCGAGAGGTCCCTAGATTTGACTAAGGTCCCAAGTTGCCAAAGCCCCGCTCAATTAATACGTGCTGCAAACCTTTGCAAGGCAGCGATGCCTGCGCGTGTCCTTGGGCTTTAGTCGCACGCTGCAGCGTCTGCGGGATCAAGGCCGCCGTCTCGCTGGGGATAAAGCCTGACTGGGACCCGCTCTTCCCCAAGGATACATCCCCTCTCCTCAATTAGCTGATCCCGCCCCGCGGGGGCTCCGGTGTGAAACACAAGTGACCTCTGTGACTGTCACGGTTAACTTGGTTTAATTTTCAATTAAATCCCTAAGTGCTTCCAAAGTTCTTTCCCCAAGAAACTGAATGAAAGTATATGCAGGAGGAAAAAACACATAATCTCTGGCTGTATTCTTTTCCGCTGCCAGCCAGTGGGAAGCCGTTCAGAGGATTGCTGTACAGTGAAAGGGGCTTGGTTTTCTGTGCCTGCTTTAATGACTGGATCTTTGTTTTGCCTTTTAGCTGTGACCGTTTAATAACCACTTGACTCACCTTGCCCTCAGCAGGATGTTGCGTTTAAGAACACCGTCCAAATTAAAAAGGTAATTTAATGATTCAGGTGGTACCAGACAGCTCACCCGACAGCCTGCCTGCAGAGCAGGCCCTCAGAAGCATTCTGCTGTAGCAGAACGCTCCCCTCGGCCAAAACCCACTTCCAGGCAGGATGCAGGGCGCTCCCAAGCCGCCTCATCCGCACTCTTAAAATTCTGCGTGTGGGAGCGCTGCAGAATGCTTAGCCAACAGCAAAACGAGGGAAAATTCTTGGCTTTCACACAAGTGAAGTGCCTCTGCTCTTTGCTGGTGAAGCAGCTTGAGATGCGTTTGTGTAGAGCGTGCGGGGGCCAGGCCAGCCGCCCGTGCGGTGCCCTGTCGCAGCGGGGATCCTCGGGGGCTTGGATTGTCACTCGCGATTTTCCCTGCTCGGATGTGGGCAAAGCCTAAGCATAAGGGTGTTGTTATCTACAGGGCGTCGTGACGGGTCAAGGAACTGCAACAAGCGACGTTTTTATACCCAGGAGAAGTGAAGGGATCTCCTGAAGGTAGCTCAGGATGGGGCAGACGGGTTTGAGAATGAGAAGGGGGAACATTCCGGTGATTGAATGGGCCGGGGACCTCCGGTCTCTGTGCACTTCATCTGAGTTCCTGCAAGGTGCCAGAGAAACAAGCCCAGAGAAAGCGCCCTGTTTTTCAGCCGGGCAAGAGCCTGCGCCTTGGCAGTGATGCCCACCTAGTCTGGGGGTCACAAGCAGCCAGTGCAGTCAGGGAAGGGGAGGTTTCACTCGGAGAGAAAATTTTCACTTGCCCTGAGGGAAGAACAGCAGGTCTTTCTGCCCGGTCCTCAGGAACAACTTGGACTTGGCTCTCCCATCATGCAGGGATAGGGCCAGAAATAATGGACTTGAATTGCAGTGGGGGAAAAAAATAGACATTGGGAAATTCGCCTTGCAATGAGGAGAGTTTGCCTGCACAGCAGCTTGAGCAGGAAGGGTATTGCTAAGGACAGGCTAGAGAAATGTCTGTCAATAGATACGTGCATAGAGTTGATCCTGCCTAGGTCATTCCTTCCCTGGAAACCTAATCTAGACAGCTGCAAATCCAAGGCCTGAGCTTTTCAGTTGCTTCAAAGCCAGATGTTTTCTGGACTAGAGCAGGCAAAATGTTATGCTGAGGCAAAGCTCATGTCTCGGAGCCCCGCTCACTGCACCCTCTGGCCCTCTCATAATCTGGCCCATTCCCGAAGTAACGTGTACGTTCTGTCACAACACAAGTAGGAACAGGAGGCAAAGACACAAGGCTAATATGGTCCTTCGTAAATCTTTTTGGTAGCCTTCGTTTGCAGCTGGGTTGCAGTTGTTTTTTTGGAAAGAGTAAAACAGGAGTGAGTCAGCATGGAGGTATTGCAGGTAAATCATGTCTGGCTAATTCGATCACTTATGCTAATGAAATAACTATCAGCCTAGGTAGCATAGATCTATCTGGTTTTCCAGAAGATTGTAACAAAATTTTGCATGATGGATTATAGTGCAAACTCCCTAAATGTAGGTTAAAGCAATCCATTATGGGAAAGGATGAAATACGGGCAAGAAGGCAGAGTCGTGGCGTGGAGTTAGAGGTGAGTGTCAGTGAAGAAGTGGGGTCTTGCAGGATGCTCTTTGGAGACTCTTGATTAATGTGCAGCCTCGCTGCAGTGCCCAGGACTGCAAAATCTGCAGATGACACCAAGCTAAGGGGAGCAGAGAAGACTTGGAGGGCTTTCTTTGGGGAGCGATTGCTTTGGGGCAATGTAATCCTGCCAAATGCTGTAAATGGACTCAGAAGTACTGTATGATCCCGACCAGACCCCAAACCTTCCTTGACCAATCCAGGACCTTCAGTAGAGCACTGGAGGTACAAATTGCTGGGTCTTTTTCAGTGGAGATGGGGAGGAGTGTGCGAGCAGCTGTGATGAAGATGGGGGAAGAGAGGAATGACCTGCAGGAGAAGAGAACCAGCAGATTTTTCCTTCATTTTTTTTTTCATTTAGCAAGTCCCTGAGTGAGTCACCATGAACATTTGCAGCAAAGTTTGATAGAAAAGTACTGGTGGTGGCAGCCCTGTTTTATTATAGTATATAAAATATGTTCTTATTATATGTTCTCTTTGTGGCTTATATAGCAATCCTTTCTGCAGGAACAGCAAGGGTGAAGCTGCTCCTGGTTACCTGGAGTGCCTGTGGAAGGAGGGAAACTGGAGAGGAGCAAAACCTTGTTGCAGTGAAAATGTGTTGGTGCACAGAGGTAACTGTGAGCAGATACTACACGTCTAGTTCCTACCTCGTTGTAATACAGAGTAATGCTGAAGGTAGCCATGCCCCAGGCATTTCGAGCTTTCTAAGTGCTGTTCCCGTCACAGCCGTCTTCTGAGCTGCACATCCATCTAGGTCTCAGCTTTTAGGTGCTCCTCATTACCCAGCCTCTAGGCAACATCGTGCCAGTCTAGGCAAGAAAATCATTTCCTTTTTTCTCAGGATGCAGCACTGTTCCCATCAAGTGCAAGACAGCCGAGCTGTCCAGCAGGCAACACGCGGCGCCTTCCCATCATTTCTGCCTGTTTTTAAGAGTCGTGTGCCGTGCTACTCCAGTGACAGTGTTACACACACGCTGCTTTCTGCTCCCCTGCGAACTAGTGTTCAGTCTATGAGAGACGTGCTGAAACGAGCAGCTGATTTGTCACAGGAAATTCTGAGGAGAGGCAACAGGGGAAACAGCAGGAGAACGTATTTTTCTCCTCTATTTTGGTCCCTGGCTAAAATCAGCTTCTTGAGCAACAGTCATTTCTGGGAGCAGAATGCTGCTTCTGGATTAGGATTTCTGCAGCAGGAGTGATCTTTTGGCATGGTGGAGCACGTGTGTCTCAGAGGTAGTGAGGTAGTGTACATGGGGAAGGATGGCTAATTTTTACGGTAAATGCAGATGCCGTGTTCCTGATTTCTCTTGCACAGAGAAGCTGTTCTAGAAGTCTTCAGACATCTATTGTCACTAACAGAACAAACAAAAGATAGAATCAAACATGGATATATCAAAGATAGGACCAAAGAAGAAATACGAAATCCCCATGTATTAGGCATAACTCATTCTCACTGACAGTTCAAAATTAACCATAGCAGGAGACTTTAATGATACTGTTGTTTAGGGAAATTGGACATGACACCCGCCAGTTGCCTTTTCTTTCGCTTGGTTAGGATTCCCTATTGTTTGACACTCATTAGAAGCTGCAGTAACCTGCTTTAAGGGCAGTCAAATTAAGATTCCTTCCCTCTGTACAAGATTACTCATCACACCACAGCTACCTGGTAATTGGAAAATAACTAGTGAATTAGTATGTCTTACAGAAGCTGTCATCTGAGCATTTCAGGTAGCATAATCAGAAATGATGTTACAAAGAATTTAGCTGTGTACACAACAGGTAAGAGGAAGCTGTAACAAAAAGTTAATGCGTCAATAACTCTTACTAGATGCAGAAATAGTTATTAATCCTTAATGATACTGGCCCGCAAGGAGCAGCCCGCTCCGTGCACAAGCAGCCCTTGCTGAAGCCCTCCAAGACTGGAGGTGGCTCTCGGAGCTCAGGACAAGCTGCAGCTTGTTGGCACCGCATGTGAAGTTGCCTTCTGGAGGTGGCTCTGGGATGAGGACAACGAGCACGGCAAGTTCTCCACTATTTCAGGAGAGGGAAATTTCCACTTTTTCGTTTATAGAGAGAGGGTCCCTCATGTGAAGCTTACATGTTACACGGTTATGAATGTCAAACTGTAGCACACACAGCGCTGTGACGGGACCAGGTAAGGTGCTGCTTGGGGGATTTGCTTGGGAAGGCTCTAGTCTGGCCCAAGGCCTGGACACCCACTAGCAGCCGCAGTGTGGTAGGTGAGATTCTGGAGCTCGTCTTTTCAGTCAGGTCCATCTGAAAGGGATCCAGTTCTGCAGTGTGGCCCTCAGTGCAGGAAGCGGGGATGGTCAGGAAGGACTCCAGAAGGGCTGTTGTGCTCCAGAACAGAACACGGATGTCAGCGCAGCTGCCAAAGTCTGCAGTAAGCCCTCAGACCGGCTCTACCTTCCCAGAAATGGCTGAGTTGATCTGAATGTGCACAGCCTGTTTTTTCTTCATGATTTTTAAAACATGCTTGCTCTTAAATGTTTTGTTTTTATTTTTCAAACATATTCACTCTGAAATTAGCATTGCCACGGCCCCAGAGGGAGGGGATAGAACTGGCTGGACAGACGTCGGATCCGCCGAGGGAGCTGGCACCTGATGCGCAGCCGGAGATGCCGTCTGCAGGTCGCCAGGCTCCAGTGGATTCTGGTTTGGGGCTGGAGATGGTGTGTGGTGTGTGGCCACGGTGCCAAATGAGAGCCGTCAGATGTGCAGCTCACCCAGTAGGTGTGACATGAGTTTCCAGCCTCGGTTTGGCTGGGGAATATACAGGGAAGATTAACCTTATCAAGTTTATCTTCTGCTAGATATATGTATATATTTTTTTTATGTAGAGCATACCATCCTTACATCACACTTCACAACTCTGTGTGCTCCTGTATATTCAAATAAGATGGATGAATTTCCACTTCTGATCATTCAACCCACAAAATYGAGAGAGAGAGATGGAAAAAAGACTGTAAGAAATTTCACAAAACTGCAGAGGGACCCTTCTGCCTCAGTGAGATGACTGATGACTTTTTACTTTTGCTCAGATGCCAGGTCTGGATTTGAAATAGTAATAAAAAAAAAAGTAATATACTGTTTTATAAAGTTATTTCAGGAGGGGGCCCTGAAGGAGGAATGTAGAATGTGGTTAGACGGGGCTGGAGAGATCAGACAGGCTGCAGGAGAACAAAAGCCGCCACTGTTCGGGATCGGGGAGCTGCTGCTGGATGAAGCGGGGCCTCCCGCTGCTCTGTGCTCGCTGCTGCCGTGGCCAGGCTGGCATCGCCCTGCGAGGGGAGACGCAGCGCAGAGCTAATCTGTCCAAACAGAAGGACGGACTTAGCTTGAGAAGATGAGCATGCTGTGCCGGTTTCTGCTCTGGTACACCCTGGAACCTCACTGATATCTGCCGAGCTCCCCAGCTATAACTTGGAGCAGACAGGGGTTCTTTATGCGTTTCCTCYAGAGCCGCACTGCTGAGGATTTGGGGAGGACTGCAGAAACTGATACTGAGATTTTCAGCTCGRCAGGAGGGAGTCTGTGTGCGCTTAATTTGGGTAGAGATGCTCGTATAACTTGCAGCGGGTGAGGCTTAAGCAGTGGAGGGATCCTCCAGAGCATAGGCTGGGCTCAGAGGCAGCGAGGAAAAGCCTCTCAGGCTGCCCGAGTCTGTCCTTGATGCTTCTGTTCCTGCAGGTGCTCGTGAGGCAACGCCTGCTGCAAGCAATGCCAACGTCCCAACTTTTCCCGAGGCAAGAAGCAGAAAACATGCAGTGTGGGCCAGCTGCTTGTCGCCTTGGTATGGGGAGCCTCTTTTGTAAGCACCTCCCTGCAAGGCTTCAGGACGTGTTGTCCCTGCAGAGTGACCGTTGGTCTGGTTTCAGCTCCAGAAATCTGCCACAATCTTCCGTTAGCGAGGTCGTGTGCGGATGCTTTTCCCGTAAGGACACAGGTGACGCGTGCTCTGCGCTGGCAAAGTGACCAGAGGGAAACGTGAGCAGCTCCTGTGCGTGGCTGCGGTGCTTGCAGAGAGGACGGCAGCACAGCTGGCCACAGGTGGGCCTTTCTGCCCCATCTGGATGCCCGTTTCTGCCCCATCTGGATGCCCGTGCACGTGCCAGGGCGCAGGCAGCGCTGGCCCTGCCCAGGCRGGTGCTCGTTGCGGCGCGATCRCTCTGYAGTCCCCGCGTGTGCAAGAGCTGTGCTCTGGGACCGGGAGGGATTATCACAGCCACCATTAGGCTGGTCTCCCGTCTGTGAAGGGCTGTGTAACTTCTCCCAGAAGGTGAGTCAAAGAGTGTCCTCTGAAAAACAGCCCTTCTCAAGGACTACAACAGATCTCTGCCAGTTCCTCCAAGTCCGTCCCAAAGCAACCGCGTTCCAAGGCAGCATCCCGTAAGGGTAACCTGCATTTCTGGTTTCAGATGTCTTCCCTTCCTTTCASTTCTTAAGTCATGTTTTACTGGCGTGTGGCCAATTCCCAGTTCTTCCAGAGCGCTCTATATTGGTAGCCCAGGCTTGCTTGCTGTTTTCCTGCCACCAATCTCATTGGCATCTGCAAACTTTGCCACAACAAGGGTTTTTTGTAGTGTCTTTAGATTGCTGATAAATCTGATAATATTTATGCTGATAAATAAAAAAGGAAGAGGAATTTCACTCTTTTATCCCAGATRTTTTTGCCCAGTGTACTATTGCAGTGCCTTTACTGAGCTGTGGCTATTGAGACCTCTCCTCCAAAGGGGAAAGCCTTTGAAGAATAGCCGGTTTTCCCGAGATGCTCTCCACTGTGAGTGTGCCTTCCCAGTGCATTTTGCCGACGACTGGGGCTGAGGCTTGGGAAAACAGAGGCGTTAAGTGCCCGGCTGTGTGCGTCACTGCCGGTGCCAGGTTGTTTGCACAAGTGTAACCACGTCATGCCCTGTGATATCCAGGCAACTTGCTGGGTTTGGAGCAGCTCTTAACCCTTCTTTGGCCCTCAGGGAGCCAGCAGAAGCTTTCCCCGTGCAGAATGTGGCGGTGTCAGGGCTGAAGGTGTTATTTTCTCCAGAACTACCATTCCTGGCTTTACAAGGGGTCTGGTAACTGGTTTAGGGGCTGGAATCCACTGCAATAGTTTGACTCTGTCTCTGTGTGTGGTGGGAGAGGCAGTGGAAGCCGTGCTGGGTGCTGTCTGTGGTGGTGCCCCCCTGTGAGCACGCTCTGCTAATAGCACTTTTGATGTTGCTTTTCCAGAGGGGAGGCCGGTCCCAGCTCCAACCAGGCTCTCCATGAGGAACAGGGCTGACAGCAGCTCCTGCTGTGATTGCCGTGGAAAAAAAGGTGGGTCTAGGAGCTTCTCCAGAGCCAGTCGAGGGGACAGGAGGTAGGTCCCATTCCCTTCACAGCAGTACAGGTCCTGAAASTAAGAGAGTTTCAGTCATTATAACAGCTCTGGAGGGGGAAGGCACAGACGTGGCAGAAGGCCTCCTTTGGCTTCTCTCAGGTGCTGTGGCTCGTTCAAGATCCACAGTGGATGCAATCAATGGATGCAATCCAGGAGCTCGCTTAGACCCCAGATGGTGAGCATTGCACACCCAGGGAT